AAAGTGACAGAAGTGATGTTCGGACTGACAGAATCAGTTGTTTAAGCAATCAACATTTTACACAGCATTCTTGTTATGCGGAAACAGCATTCTTGTTATGTGGAAAGAAAATTATTTTTAAAAGAGTATACTATACTGCCTGGCCAAAAAAAAAGTGGCCGTATGGATTTAAATAAGCAAATACATACGATTTTTAGATTAAGTCATTATTGCAGTGATTAATATGTTTCTGGAATGTTGTATGTTTGGCAACAATTCTTTTATCCCCAAGTGATGCAGTGTGTAGCTTATAATTTCAAAAACAACTATGTCAGGTGGAAAAATTCACCTGGCTCACTCTATGAAAGATTGGCCACCACAGAGTCCTGACCTAAGCCCCACTGAAAATCTTTGGGATGTCTTGGAGTCGACTTTACACTGCCTGTCCATAAAAAAAGTTGCACAGTCTAGTATTTTGTTGGACCCCCTTTAACTTTGATTATATTGTGCATTCCTTGTGTCATTCCACAACATCATACAAAATCACAACATTTATTTTCATCAAGAGTTGCATACATTTTTGGCAGATATCTTGTATTGACAATGGGAGAATCGATTGTATAATTTTGAAATTTGAAGCAAAAACAGAATTTGTTGACTTCAGTTTTGTGAAACTATAAATAAAAATATCTGCATGAAACCGAAACAGCCGACGAGCTGAATGAGATGCAGATTCACTCTCTGCCAGCAGGTGGCGCTTAAAGCGTTTCCTTGGTTTCCGCTGTAAACAAAGCAGCGCTGAACTTATGAACTTTAATATGCATTATACAGAGGAAAATAAAAAATACCATCTAAACTTTTCTAAAGACAGTAAGTTCCCCTCAGACATACATTCATATAAACTCCTACCCCTAAATGAATCGCGTCTCAACCGAATCGTCACATATTTGAATCGATTTTCAACCGCCTCGCGGTTAATCGTTACATCCCTAGTTGCTGTCTATGCAGGGTCAGACAGCTCTCAGATTCCATGAAAAATATTTTAATTTGTGTTCCAAAGACGAACGAAGGTCTTACGGGTTTGAAATGACATGAGGGTGAGTAATTAATGACAGAATTTTCATTTTTAGGTGAACTATCCCTTTAATGGGAAAAAGCAGGTAACCATGAACCGGTTGAGGAGTCATGGGCAGAATGAAATGTGCCAAAGCTGCTTAAAAAAAATTTACTCACCAGAGCACAATTCACTTTCAATGATAGGGAACAATCCCATAAAGCTGCCAAAAAACCTTGTGTGTGTATTATGAACCCAGCAGATATCAATATGATAGCAATTATGATATCAATGTGACATGGCTTATGCGTTTCAGAATATGGTTTTACTTCAGCGGTTTTGAAAGTATGAACCTTTATTTGGAGACTATTATGAATAAAACTGCATTGTTATTTGTATTAAATCAATAAAAATATCTATACACATCATGCAATTGCTCAGAGATCAGAGAAATGTGTAAAATCGTGTGTAAACTGTAATATAGCCCATCATGTGCTGTATTGCTATTCATTTGCCATGACCAACCCAACAGTTCTTGTGAAAAATGTACAACTTAACAAATAGGAATGTGCTTTCTAAATATTATTTCCTTCAGAAAATAATGACAGTGTCCTCAAAGTTGAGCATAACATCCAGAACCTGTTTTTCAAGACTAAAAAAACTAAGCTGAATGTGTGTGTGAAGAATATCGTCTTGATTTCGATTCAGACAGAAATAGTACTAATATTGTCTGTGTCTGAATTGCTTACAGTCTACATAATCATTTAAATTATCTACATAACATAACTACCATTACCACAACCCATTTATTATTATCATAATTGCTCAGATAGAAAAGTTGTACATTGTGAGTTTTGTCTTGAGGCACAAATATATTAGCTTGCTTATATTAGCCTGAATTAGAATGAATACATGTGTGTTTTGAATGAGACCATGGTTAAATCTGTGCTTTATGAGGATAGCTTTGTGTAGCCATTTACAGAAAAGTGACAGAAGTGATGTTCGGACTGACAGAATCAGTTGTTTAAGCAATCAACATTTTACACAGCATTCTTGTTATGCGGAAACAGCATTCTTGTTATGTGGAAAGAAAATTATTTTTAAAAGAGTATACTATACTGCCTGGCCAAAAAAAAAGTGGCCGTATGGATTTAAATAAGCAAATACATACGATTTTTAGATTAAGTCATTATTGCAGTGATTAATATGTTTCTGGAATGTTGTATGTTTGGCAACAATTCTTTTATCCCCAAGTGATGCAGTGTGTAGCTTATAATTTCAAAAACAACTATGTCAGGTGGAAAAATTCACCTGGCTCACTCTATGAAAGATTGGCCACCACAGAGTCCTGACCTAAGCCCCACTGAAAATCTTTGGGATGTCTTGGAGTCGACTTTACACTGCCTGTCCATAAAAAAAGTTGCACAGTCTAGTATTTTGTTGGACCCCCTTTAACTTTGATTATATTGTGCATTCCTTGTGTCATTCCACAACATCATACAAAATCACAACATTTATTTTCATCAAGAGTTGCATACATTTTTGGCAGATATCTTGTATTGACAATGGGAGAATCGAACCACTGTTGTCTCCAGTACATCCTAAAGACTTTCAGTAGGGTTAAGCTGTGGTGCACTTCATGTGTGAAAATGATTTCTCATGCTCACGGAACCATTTCACAAATTGAGCCTGGTGAATCTATTTCCAACATGGTTTATTTCTGTTCTTCATTATGTACATCAATTTACTAGTTTAGCACAGTTCATAAGTAAATCACTGAACTATTAAAGATTAAGCATTTAAATTAGGAATGGGGCAAGAGTGGTAGGGCAAAAACCACTGCTAACCCAGAAGAACATTAAGGCTCATCTGAATTTTGCCAAAACACACCTTGGTGATCCTCAAACTATTTGTGACCCTGGACCACAAAACCAGTCTTAAGTCGCTGGGGTATATTTGTAGCAATAGCCAAAAATACATTGTATGGATCAAAATTATAGATTTTTCTTTTATGCCAAATCATGTAGTGTTCGGGTCCTTTTTGCTCTGAAATTTTTTTATTTTTCCCGAAAATACTAGTTAATGTTATCGCATTGGACTGAAATTTTGTGACTTTGTTCACAAAGGGTATAACTACTTCTAAAAAATGTTTTGATAATTTTCATACTTTTCTGGGGGAGATTTTTCACCTTGTTACACTTGTGATGTTCCAGGGCAAAAATGACCCGGCCTCAAAAAAATGCTTATAAATCACTCATTATGCTATATTATCACCAAAGATTGGATTCAATCTTTTTGTCAACTTCTTATCTTTCATTTAGGACTGGTTTTGTATTTATATTTGCTTCTGATTAATCGTTGGCCTCATTTATCTGAGGCCTACCCTTCACCCTGCTTCAAAATAATCTTTCTTTCATCCTTCTTTCATCACACCTTCTAGACAAAATATTATGACAATAGGTATTGAAGCTTTCATGTTCTCACAAAGCAGACAAAAGTTTACTAATAAATGCTTTAGCACAAAGACAAAGCATATAAATATTGCTGAACCATGAAATGTTCTTGATATGGCAGTGCTGTTTTTTCATGTCACAATGGTCAGATTTGTTGTTGCATGACATTGTCTCTGTGTGACAGTGTTGGTGTTTTTTTGTGACAGTATAAATATTGGTTTGTTGTTCCATGAAATGTTCTTTATATAGTTTTTGTATCTTACACTCTTAAAAATAAAGGTGCTTCACGATGCCATAGAATAACCTTTCTGTCTAAATGGTTCTATAAAGAACTTTTAACATCTGAAGAACCTTTCTGTTTCACAAATGGTTCTTTGTGGTGAAAGAAGGTTCTTCAGATTACAAAAAGGTAAGCAAGAGATGGTTCTTTAAAGAACCTTTGACTGAATGGTTCTTTGTGGAACCAAAAATGGTTCTTCTATGGCATCGCTTGAAGAACCTTTTGAAGCACCTTTATTTTTAAGAGTGTACTACAAAATAAGAGGAGTATAAGTACTAAGTCAACTAATAAAAGCTCTTATGTAATTTACACAGTGTTTCTATTATTACAAATTCTGGTATTGTTTCTCAAGCTGGCTAGAAGGTTTAGAGATGTGGCTTATATTTTAATTTGGAGGGATACTCCACCCAAAAATGAAAAATCTCTCATCATTTACTCACCCTCATGCCGTTCCATATATATTTTAATTTCTTGCTTCACATGAACACAAAATGAGATTTTTTTCAAAAATTAATCCATCTATGTGAGTCCATATAATGCAAGTGGATAGATCCCTTAAAATGACGCTTCACAAACCACACAAACGAACATAATTGTAATCCAAAGTTGAATCAATGTCTTTTGTAACAAAACTGTGTAAGAAAAAAATATTTTAAACTTTTTAAACTAAAAACCATTGCTTGCAGCCAACTGTGAACATCAGCGTATAACAGCACTTTGTGAAACTGAAGTGACAGTCCCGAAAATTTAATTTTTGTCAAGCGAACACACATATGAGAGTTGGCTGGTTTATAGTTTACCATATTAGAATGTTTCTCTCACACACACACACACGCACACACACACACGCACACACACCAATAGTTTGCTTCAGAAGACACTGATTCATCAACTGGAGGTTGTATGGATTACGGCCATGTTCATTTTGCATGGTTTTTGAAGCATTCTTTTGAGAGATCTATCCACTTGCATTATATGGACTCACGGAGATGGATTATTCTGCTAAAAATCTCAGTTTGTGTTAATCTAAAAAAACAAAGTCATATTAATCTGGGACAGATTGGTGATGCATAAATGAAGAGAAAAATGTCATTCTTCGGTGGACTATTCCTTTAATTTCATTTTAAAAAATACTTTCTCCCATCCCAGCTTAATATTTTCTGTAAAACTGCTTTGAAACAACTGAATCAGTGACAGCAGAGACAGCTATACTGGTCCACATGATGGACAAACATCACCTCATGAACGCTTTGTTATGAATGACTAGAGAGCTGTCACCAGTTGGTGTGTGTATCTCACCCATGACTCTGGCCTGTAATCGAACTCGGACGCTGCTGTCCCTTCTGCTCCTGTTGACCAGGGTGAGTTCCTCTTGCACCACTCCCTCCTGCTGAGCGCTGTACTCACAAACCACCCTCGCTCCCCCTTAAAAGAGCACAGACAGATGAATGGGAGTGAGTGGGATGAATACAGATACAGAGGGATACCAAGACAACACAAAATGTCATGGACATTAAAAAGATGGGTAAAAGAAAACGCCTGAGTTCCAATCAAATAAGATTGGAAGATTGAAATCATCGTAGAGAAACAATCACCTTACTGCAAAGTGCTTGCAGCTTCTTTTAGAATATAAATTGTACACTCAGATACGGCAAACCTACTAAGATTTCCCTAGAGATTCAAATGTGGGAAAAATGACACTACTATAAACATGCTAAGTGAGTTTCAGCTAATGGAGAGATCAATGCCGGGCTGAAATAGGAGTGTGACTATTGATCCTAACATGACGTCTTGCATTTGGCTTGATGTTTTATCAGCAGTCAGATGTACAAGCAATCTTAGATCCACATTAACTGCTCTGATAGCACTTATGCTTTTACAGCCTTGTTTAATTGTTACTGCTTAGTTTTAGCTACATGTATCTAGTTTTCTAAACTTTCTCATCATTCATTGAGTCAAGGAAGCCACATGTTTATAGATCTGGGCTGTTTTCTCAAAGGTTTCTTGCTCAATCCCAAGCAAGACTGAGATGGTTTCTCGGTCACGGGTATTGTTCATTAACCTTGTGCTCCGGAGCAGAGCACTTAACCCAGGTTGCTCCAGTGAGACTCTCCTTGTAATAAGTCTACTGTAAGAAGCTTCAGCTGAAAAGCATCTGTTTAACTGCTGAACACCTCTTAATAGGGTGTATGTGAATAAATGAGAACACAAGGGTTGTAAGCAGACTTTGATAAGTGACATAGAAGACTATATGCATGATAAAAGTTGGTCTAATTGTGCGTTCAAGTCCTCCTGGGAAATTGATATTTATGAGTTGGGAAGTCGTAATTACAATGTCAGGGGCGTTCAAATAACTTTGGTCGGAACAAGATGCCGATGTACCTTTTCTGCATAAAATTCAGTAGGATTTTTCTTGTTTTAAATCATTTTAAATAGTTTTTAATGTTTTATTCAATTTATGAAGGTCCTGTAAATTGAATCGCTATATATTCTATCGTAATTGCAAAATATACTATGGTGTTTTGTATATGTACGTTTATATTATTTTGATGACATTTTGGAAAATAAAGTGTTCTTCATAAATGCTAGTTAGTCTATAAAATATAAAGAAATAACTATAAATACATCTGTAGGTTGCAATTCAAAAAATGGTTAGAAATATAATCTAATGTTTTTACCAAATGCATCTATGATAACATGTTTATGGGTAATTTTTGTATTTTCTATGTATTTTTAACATTCAAACATATTTCTCAGTGGTAGAGCATTGCGTTAGCAGCGCAAAGGTCGTGGGTTCAATTCCCAGGGAACACACATACTGATAAAAAATGTATAATCTGTATGCACTGTAAGTCGCTTTGGAGAAAAGCGTCTGCTAAATGCATTAATTTATATATATGGTATTTTGTATGGAAATGTAATAATTCACTTTCATTTAAAATAAGTTTCATGTACAAATTTCACATGCGTTCAACTAAATATGATCTTTCCAACTTTACTTATAAACACCATAAGACCAATGCAAAAACATACCATCAGGCTGTGGTGTGATGCGTATTGCACGTAGTCGTGGTTTTGCAGTAGTGCGTAGTGCGGGGGAAAGAGAGACATCTTTCCCTAGTGTTGGGACTTGTGGCAAAGAAAAGATGATTTCATATTTGTGATGGCTCCTTAAAAATCCCACCTAGATACAGAGTTACAGTGTCAACGATTTCAGCATGCAACACATCTATCTTATATACTGTTTGTTTTTAAGCATTTTTTAAAAGCGATTTCTTTCACCTTAACAAGATATGCACCATCAGGCTCTGGTAGAGCAGTGATGACTTTATCCTGAAGCTTTTCATCACAGCTATTGTTAATGGGAGCGTCTTCATCATCATCAGGGAAATGTACTCCACCTTTTGAAGTGGAGCCTGGCGAAGAGAAAACAAGGGTGGAGTTAAGATCACAGAGATGGATACTGGACCAGAAGATACATGCTGAGATGATTAATGCAGGCTGAACCCAGTGTGGGAGAGCTGTTAGAATATACACACTCTGGAAGTGTTAAGAGACAACGAGAAAGCATAAAAGTATAAATATATAAAGCACATTATGTAAAAAATGTATACACATGCATATTCAGATAGACATTATGAGCACAGAAAAGACACTGACTTTTCCTTCCTGTTGCCATGTCAACATAAGGCCAGGGAAATCCAGGGATGATGACTGGCGTCAGTTTGATATCATCTTTAAATAGAGAGAATGACCGCTGCAGAAGAACAGAAGATGCCTGTGAGTTATGTAATCTATGATCAGATTTTAATGTCCTACTCTGTCCTATTCCCTGATATATCGAATAATGTTTTAGACAGTATATAAAGAGATTTAAATTGCATGCAGTTTATTTACCCAACTTCTAAATTATCAATTGTCCATCCCCTGAGAATGATTTGCATTTCATTGACTTTGCAACATACTCCCTGCTGGGTTAAACGCCACAGGATGGAGGTCCCCCACAACTGTAATGCTTTATTATCATCATTAGTTCGCCGTAATAACTGAGGTTAAAATGGCGAATCATCTGAGTAAGCATTCATGAGGCCTGTTATTAGGGCAAAACTCCATTCAGATGTTCCCTTATTTGCCCTCAAGTCAGTATTAGACTTTATACTGACATCATTCGGCATTGGTGTATGAATTGTGTTTGCTGCTGATGTTTCATACTGAAACTGATTAAGTTCGTATTAAGTTTATTCGTTTTCAGTTATGTTTTTCTCTGCCTCATATTATACATATCTATATAATGGACATACTTGAATTCAGGCCCAACAATAAGCTGCATGGAAGAAAAGGTATATAAAAAGTGTAACATAACATAAAAGGTATATAAAGTAAACACACCATTATTATTTTTATTATTATTTAAGCAACAACTGCAAGATGCTGGTCATGTGATCTCAACATGGCCGCGCCCATAACGCGTAAAATGAAATCAATTTTTGTCCTAGACATGTTGCGCCGCTATGGTTTTTGGGCCCCCTGAAAAGCATATTGACTCGGACTCAGGTTGGTGGATTAGTCGGGTCCCCCTCAGTAAAAATCGCGTTCCCGGGCCCCCTCTCTCTCATCGGGCCCTTGGAATCGTCCTAACCTTTCCCCCGTCAAGGTGCCCCTGGTACTAGAAAACATCATTTTAATATGTTTATTAAACATAGCTGTTAATTTCTTTAAGCCTTTACACTTTTTAATACTGTGTACACCTTTAAATAGCAGTTGACAAAATTGTTTTGGCAAATTATTGAATGAATCCTCCAAATTGCCAATTCCTAAGTAATATGTGCCATATGTAATCACATATGTGCACACTGTAATCTTTGTTTTTTTGTACTATAAATTATGTAGCTACTTGTGTGTAGAGCTCTATGTACAAACCTGCAGAGAAGTAAACCTGTCCCTGATCCCCCCCCCCTGTAGATTTATTTGAAAATCATGCACGCAGATGGGACTCCAGACACTAAGCAGCAATTTCACATGAAAATCTTTGACTTTAATCGGAGTCATTACGCCAGCTCAGTCAAGGTTATTTCAGAGAATGACACTCACATTCAAACTAAAGCGGCTTATAATACCGCGCTCTTCCCGACTGACTTGTTCTCAGCCTTTCTTCCAAAGCGCCCCTGCAAAATCACGCCAAATATGACGATAAGAAAAAAGCGGCTTATGCAACAATAATCGCTGAGATGGGCGATGCAAGTTATAGATATGTATCTGTCTATAATAGATACATTATTACAGGCGGTCCCCGAGGAGTCCGCCTTTGCCGGATAAACAAAACCTTCGAAGGCAGTGCATCTCGAAGGCATCTCTCGTTCATAATTTATTAAAGTACAGCATGTTGTGCTCTGTGTAAAAATGGGACAACACTGAGCGTTGCGTGCCAGTGTCCCGTTTGGCACCACTGACAGAAAAAAAACTGCTCGATATTAAAATAGTAAGTGGTTCAGCCAAAAATACGTAACCTTCATTTTTTGTATAATAATCATACCTCGTGTTTGACGTTTAATAGACAGAATTATAACTACATCTCAGGGAAAATGTCTTCTGAAGATTGCAACGCAGTTCATGCAGAACTATTTATTAACAGACTTTTGACAGAATTGTAGGCTTCTATTAATAGCTCCCACTTAAGAGAAAAATGCATTTTTGAAGTGTGGGTATCTTTCAAATGTGCGCGTGCACACAGACTATACACATATAGTTGAATATCAAAATAATTGTAATCTTAAATTCACTGAAAATCAAACTTACCTGTCTTGCATGTACTGTACAGAAGCAGGTTCGTGGCGTTGCCTGAAGCGCTGTGCCATCAGTCCCCTGAACGCAGCGTGTAGCGTGCAGCAGAGGTCTGACGCTGCACCGTGTCACAAGAAAAGAGCCGCAGCCATTGGCTACTGATGGTTACTTAACGTCTAGCTCTCTTTTTTCTACATCTCCCTCATTATATACAGTATACACGCAATGTGGAGGCAAGAGGTCCGGACCAGTGCCCCAGCAGAGCCCCTGAATGTCATAGGCTTCGAGCTGAGCTGAGCCACCGACCACAGTGGCCTCACCCAGCACTGCAAATGTAAAACTGATATAGCCTAGAGATGAACAGTTCTTGAATGGATATATTAATAGAATGAAATGCAATAAATGGTCAACTTGCAATCAAAGATGCAATAAGCTGCTTTGATGAGAATGAAAGATATCACACTGCAAACATACATCAATTCAATTTTTTAAGCCAACAGAGAAGTTGCAGGTGCTTAATAAAAAGTTGCTTTTAAAAATAAGAATTTTGAAACATAAAGTCGCAATTATGACGAAAGGCAAAATTACACACACACACACACACACACATTTATTATTAGTCACAATTGCATAACTTAAAGCCACAGTTACTCCCTAATTTGCTGTACTGTACATTCTTGGTTTGTCTTGTAGGACCATAATCCCATATGGACTATAGAGATTCAGAGAGTAAAGACAACATAGAAATAGAAGAGATGTAGTCGCCTATATATTGTATAAACACATTTATTTTTTGCTTTACTATAATGTACAAAACACATATTTGAATATTATACATTTTGCATATAATACATGCTTGGTCAAGCTAAATACTAATGGGTTATTTTACAATCAGATTTCCATCACCATCCAATGTTGTATTCAGTGTCAAAGAATCCCAAACTTCAATTTCAAGCCTTGGCAATTATTTGCGGTTCATAAGTCTTATTATTGTTTTAGGTATATCAAAACATCTATAAGGATTAACTGTTTAATGTTTTGTTGAATATATATATATATAAAATCATTAAGCCAATGAAATGATCACATGGATTGTAAATGAAAACCATATTAATTTTCATCATTTTGAATTAAATAATAAAGTAAACAAACTCTATGAGCAATATATTTGTTTCCATCTCACTGTTCTTTCATTTTTCAGTCAGCCAGCTTGGGTTAGCTGGATAGGCAGGATATATGATAAGGGGAGCCTCATTTTTGCCAGATTTGTTGGTGCATGGGCTGAAAAAAGGATATAAAGTATCTGCAAAGCAGTCTGTGAAGGTAAATATCAGTGACTTTGTATCTGCATTATAAAAGGACAATTGACCTTTTTCATAGTCCACATACACGCCGACACACTGTGGTTTTATTTGTACAACTATAGGCATTGATGGTTCTGTACGAAAGACATACTCATGCTTGTCACGTAGACTTAGAAACCAAAATCCATTAGCTGGGTTTGCGGCTATTTTTCCTTTCCTGGTGATGGAGCGACTAGCAATGCCCAAATCCCAGTCCGTCTTCTCACCCACCACAACCTCCCAGTAATGACAGCCAGAGCTGATACCTTGGCGGCCAAGTACACACACCACACGGTCAAACCGTTCAGCTGTGTCTGGTACCACCTGGTAGCGGTCGCTGCAGTGCACCTGTTTACCGTCCTCAGAGATGATCAGACGTGGATGGGCTGAGTCTTGATCTAGGGTCACGTCCACTGAGGAGAGAAACAGAACACATTTGAAAAGCTATAAGGTGTTTGAAGGAATACAAATATAAGTGATGACAAACATGTGATGTATCTAATGATGTGCAGCATATAGAAAGCATCTCATACTTGCATATTCCTCCACCCTCCACACTTCTACAGAGGAATGCAGAAGAAAAATATTATTTTTTAAAAATTGAAGCAGCTTTGTATAACAATTAGTACAATTAATCACTCCAATCATATACAGAACCAGTCAAAAGGTTGGAGTGCTAAACAGCAAAAACTAATTTCAACAGCGATAATGATAAGAACCATTATTAATATTTGAGCATCAAATCATCATATTAGAATGATTTCTGAAGGATCATGTTATACTGAAGATGGGAGTAATGGCTGCTGAAAATTCAGCTTAAATCATATTTATCATATAAATCATATATTTTAAGCTTTTTATTTTAAGATCATACAGTTTGTAATATATAAAACAACATTAGAGTTTTTACTGTATTGTTCATCAAATAAATGAATACAGCCTTTGTGAGCATAAGAGACTTCTTTCAAAAACATGGGGGGAAAAAAATCTCAATTATTCCACACTTTTGAATGGTAGTGTGTGTTGTTATAATATTATCAAGATATATGAAAACAGACACTTTTTCAAAACTCAAGATTTTTTAAAAACCTTTAGAATTTATTCTACTCTTGCATAAGACATAGTGCATTTGCACTTAATTTGTCATTTACAAATAATTTGACATGCAAGCCAATAATATTCATAGTTAATAATGCCTTTAAAGTTTAAATTATAAGATAAGTATTGAATCTGGCTTTGAAAAGTGGACTATAACAGAGAAAATGAAGTTATCTGTAGTGACCTTTATTTGTATAGCACTTTATACAATATTGTTTGGCATTAAAATTCTGTGCAATTTTTATGATTTAGCCCCTAGCACTGAAAACTGTGAGGGGAAGCTGAGATTGGACTGGAAAGGGGAAAAGGAGGAGAAAAAACTTACTTTGTTGATATATTTCCGGTGGGTTTCCTGTGGAAGGGCGCAAACCTGACAGCACAACAATACATACCGTAAACATGACTGAAAAAAACAGTGATGTGTGCATGCAAAGATCAAAATTCTGGTCTTAAAAACTCCTTGATTTTAAACAAATAATCTTAAATCTAAATCTTAAATCTAATCTTAAAAATAAAGGTGCTTCAAAAGGTTCTTCAAGCGATGCCATAGAAGAACCATTTTTGGTTCCACAAAGAACCATTCAGTCAAAGGTTCTTTAAAGAACCATCTCTTTCTTACCTTTTTATAATCTGAAGAACCTTCTTTCGCCACAAAGAACCTTTTGTGAAACAGAAAGGTTCTTCAGATGTTAAAGGTTCTTTATGGAACCATTTAGACAAAAAGGTTCTTCTATGGCATCGTGAAGCACCTTTATTTTTAAGAGTGTAGATGGTGAGGTGAAGCATCTGAAGTGCTCCTGAGTAAAGATGTCATCATTCTGTTCACATTAACAATATTCAAACCCTATTCATTCAAAAGAATATACGAAAAAGAAAATTCTGTTTTTATTTACTTTCCAGTCAACAGGAAAAAGTCACATGGGTTTGGAACTGCAATGAGAGTGTATGTACTGTAAATTATGTGTTAAAGAGCAGTTCATGAAGGAACTTTCTCTTACAGATCGTTGACAGTCTCCTCAAGGCTTCCTGAACCTCCTCCACCATCTGAGTGACATTTCTCAGCACTGCTCCAGCAGTGGGGTCAGGGGTCAAGGCCACTTCTTCCCAGCTCTTTGTCACAGGTAAACTACAGTAGGCTGGATATGTCTGAAAAGAAACATCAGTAATATAAATTTTGGTTACATATTGGGGTATAAAATACAAAACAAACAATTTAAGTCTGGTTTTAATTGAGACCTTGAAGAAGGAAACATGATCTTGGGACTGCGTCAGCTGACTGAGGGAGCTGCATCTATTTCTGAGTTCAGATATCTCCATCTGCAGCTCACGTATGAAGGCCTGAGAGCGAAGTTCTGCAGCCCTCTGTCCCATCTCCACCACCTCCAGAAGTTCAGCCTGGGACTTCTCAACAGCTTTCATTAACTCAGCAAACATACTCACAGTACCTGCTTTCTCTTGCTCTGCATTCACCTTAGAACAAGCAAATGAGACAAAGAAAATATAACAGACAAATGAAGAAACCCTCATGTCTTTTCAAACCCATATGACATACTTCTATGAAACAAGAATATTCACAAACATCTTTTCCATGCAGCAACAGTTCTCTGGATCTTGACAGTTAGTCTCTAATGATGAAAAACACCATAAAAGCAGCCAATATGGCTTTTGGTCTTCGTGTAAAGAGCAGAACTGAATTTAAGTCATTACTCGCTGAAAATATTTGTGAATTTTGGCCTTCAGAAGACTAAATGTGCCATCACTTGCTCAGAGAATTTTCGCAGGCAAAATGCAGTCATTTCAATGGGAATCCACATGCTTTGGACATAATTCACGCATGAGGACATAAGATTTCCCTAAGCAGATTTTGCAACAAGTTTGGGATTCGCCACATTGACCATCAGACAGCTGTTTTGTTTGATAGTGACTTCTGAGTGAGTTGTGCTTTTTCAGACATCACTACTTCTAAGGGATAGTGGGATAGTTCACACACAAAAAATAATAATTCTGTCATCATTTACTCACCCTCATGTTGTTCTAAACCTGTTGTTCTTCTGTTGAACACAAAAGAGGATATTTTGAGGAATGTTGGTAACCAAACAGGTGACAATAACCATTGACTTCCATAGTCAATGGCTACTGTCAACTGTTTGGTTACCAACATTCTTCAAAATATCTTCTTTTGTGTTCAACAGAGTAAATAATGGGTAAATGACAACAGAATTATTTGGGCGAACTATTCCTTAATGTGACAGAACCTTTAGAATATGCAAGACTACTTTTATGGTGTGTGTGTTTTCCCATTTGTAGAGCTTAACAGATGTAGTCACTATGGGCAACCACTGTATAAATATAGCCATATGAAGATTCTTCAGAAATTCTCCTTTTTGTGTTCCACAAGACAAAAATAACAGCATATGGGTTTGGAACAACATGAAAATGAGTAAATAATGACAAAAGTTTTATTTTGGGTGAACTATAAACCCAATCTCACAGGAAAACATGGTGATTTTGTATGCATTCATATGATGTGAATCACATGAAACATACAATTTTTTAAAACTAAGCATTAAGATCCAGCCCTAAACATAATCATCACTGGGGTTTAAGCAGATCATATGAAAACATACAAATGAGATTCATACAA